TGAAAATTTAAGAAAAGAAAATTATGATAAAAATAAAGGTGGACTAAAGATGAAGCTAACAGTGAGTCTACAAATGACTATAAATCTGACTCTAAACTGTCCAGCACACTGACAAAGAGGGAGACACTGTTATAAGATTCAAATGTCCACAAGGTAAAAAGAAACCAGGTCTCCAAGGTTCCTCAGAAGGAAGAAACTCTTCAGTGTTTGGAACAATGTCCTCAGCTGTGATACACCTCTCTGATTACAGGGCTGAATGCAACCATAGTCTGTACAGTATCTAGAACAAAGTTCTAAACTCACATGTCTATAGGGGCCAATGACATAATGTAAGTCAACTTATGGGGGGAAAGTTCTTTGTACACCAAAATGCAGATCACACATGAAACACACAAGGATATTCTTTCCTTACTCAAAGTGATATCCATTTTTCTTGGACTATGTGGCATTCTCGGTCTACCTTTCATTATTTCACTTTTGTTAGAAATAGTGACAGAATTTCTCTGCTATGGGAAAATCAGCAGTGCAATTCCTCTGACAAGTGGCAGATGACACTCAGCCTCAGGGCTGAGGAGACAGCAAGATGGGGAGTAGTGTGGCAAACTGAAAAGCACAGGCTTCATGGAAAAGATGACAATTACTTGGCTCTTGACAATTTTTGCCAGATCATTTCTTTTCAAAAGCCAGAAACTCAGTTTCTATGCAAAACCTCTTGATTTTAAATGCTGGCTCAAAAAAAAAAAAAAAAAAAGTTCTGAAACATGCTACAGGAAATACAAAACCTACTTCCTATCAATTGCTGATATGAGGCCTCTGGCCTTAAGGATTAGATGGATTACATACCCTTGGGCCATCCACATAATTATAATTTGTTTTCAACTGAGCTCCTGAAAAATACTGAGCCCCAGTAGGTTCAAGGTTACACTTCTTGACAAGTACAGCTTGTAGACTGCCAACACGGCCATAAATTCCTCCTCTCCATGTATCCATGTCCCCTTGCCCTGCAGCCTTGAGTGCCCATGCCTCACTGACACTGAGCTCAGCAATGTGGCTTGCTTTGGCCCATGGGAAGTGAGCAAATGTGATATTATCAGAGGCTTAAAACAGGCTTGTGCATTGGGACTTGCTGGTCCTTGAAACCCTGCCACCATGCGACAAAGTCCAGAGTAGCCTGCTGGAGGATCCAGTGTCCCAGCCAAGGACACCATAAACCAGTCAGCCCCTGTGGATCCACAAACTGAGTAGACACATGAGCAACACTGAGACTAGCAAAGCTGACCAGGACCAAAAGAACTCTCAGCTGATCTGCAGCTGATTATTATGAGCTAAATAAATGATTGTTAGTTTGAGTCACTGCAGTTTGAGGTGGATGGTTACAGCAAAATTTAACTGGTACCTGTTAAAATGTATCAGTACATTCCTATTGAAAAGTGGCTTTTTTCTTGTCCAATCACCAGCAGGCCTATTATTAACATTAAGTGTCTTCCATATTCTTGTCACTTTTATTATTAACCTCTGTTTTGACAAACAAAATCACAAAGCTACTCAAACAGAGAGCAACAGCTTTCTCATTTGCCTAAGGTGCTTGCTTACAAACTGCAATCACCAACCCAAAGCAATCTGCAGAATGCTGGCGACTCCCATAAATCCTGGAGGACCACTCACTATGAATAGGCCCCTAGGTGGGAGAACTGTCAGTTAAAAGCCATGTGTTCTGAAGCTGGAGTGGGGACTGAAACCCTGTTGGGGAAAAGTTAAGTACTCTGAAAAGGCCACTTGCCTGATGGAGTGCTTGCACATGGGCCAAGGGAAGACCCACCAACAAAGCCAAGATTCTCCTCAAAAGATACCAGAATATAGGTAGTATTGTAGTTACTAAGAAAAAAAAATTTTTTTAATTAAAAATAAATAAGAAATAAAAACTTAGTAAGCCATCCAACCACCCAGAGAGCATTATTACTGCCCAGTGTATGCTCAAAGACAAAATGGTTACAGGAGGTTCACCTAATGGCTAAATTGCATGGTATGACTTGTTGTGTAGAATTAGCACTATAATCATTAGGGGAAACTTCCAAAATTCATGACCGCTGCATTATATTAGTCAATCTAGATCCTTGTTTCTCTGAAAGAAACTAAGATACCGGAGACAACTGGTATTTAGATTTCTCCTAATTCACAGAAATAAGCAATATTATCTGCACTTAGAGAACTGGTTTACTTTCCGTTTTCTCTTGGGCCATTGGAGTTGGGGTAGGAGAGCCCTCGGCAAAACTCAGAGAGGTGTCCAGTAATGAAAATTAGTGTAAAAGTAGGGGCAGTCTCAGAACTATCTTGTTTCACTACTCTACGGTCCAGAGTATGTGAAACGTACTGTTTTATGACACATCATAATATCTGGAAGGGCAACTCTCATCACTCTTCTTTTTAAGTTTTGTTGAACAATTCACATATTTTATTGGGAAAATATGGCGGTAGGTGCTTGTCTTATATTTAGGACATTCTAACATTTGGGCACATACATTATTCCCAAGCCAGTAGGAATGCTCTGTTTCAGAGAAAAATACACCTAAAGATTAAGTTTGTTCCTCAATCCACCTCTATCAGACACTCATTATCAGAAATTCTTCCAGATTCTAGCAATAATTTGTAGATCTCAGCTTTGGTTTTGATATTCTCTATATCTAGATAGGTATTTCATGGATAACAAAGACATGCCAACTTTTTGAGATTCAAACCTAGAATGGCTACTTTCTACATATTCTCTTGTGCCCAGGGAAGGATGTAACTTAAAAGGAAATGCAACACAACTTCTATGCCTATTCCCTGAACCATGTCACCCTTAATATTAGGAGCTTCAAGAATGCTTTAAAAATTCAAAAAAGGAACTTCCCTTTCCTAAGAATCCCTACTTTCTCAATTATTCCTCACAGAGTAGGGAATGAACTCTTGTTTTCAAGATCTGAGAGATCTGTTCATCTTCCTATTTCCCTGTTCCTGCCACCTCACTTCTTCCTTTTTGTCTCCATCCCAATTTTCCAGTCAGTACCTACCCTAAAAGACTGGGTTAGTCAATAAAGAAATATTTCTTTGGAATGATATGCCATCATATTTCATTTGTTGGTCAAAGATGGCAATCGAAACTAGTACCAACATCTTGTCATACCATGATCCCCCTGCAGGCACAAGAAAGCTCACCAACAAGAGAGGGGAAGAGAGACTCAGTAACATTTACTAAATGTTTACCATGTGCTGACATTTTGCTGGACACTTTCAAGTAAATATCTTACTTCATACTCATAATTGTACTCAGTCTATGATGTCATTCACAAGGAATTCCATGTATGATCAAACAATGAATTATCCTCTCTGGTTATCATTTTGCAAAGAATTACCTACATCCTACTCCTAGCAAATTCAATTCTTTTTAGACATTTATCCCTTAAATTTGAGATAGACTTCCCCTTTTTATACATATACCTCACCCTCTATCCCAATGTCTTCCCCATGAGCCATGTGAAAATTCAAAGATTTTAAATTTAACAAAATTTAACATTTAAAAAGGAATGGTGACCATATGTATAATATACACACTGACTTTTTAAAATCTTTTTCTTTTCAACCTTACCTTTTTATATAACTTCAAAGAGTAATATTATAGCTACCTTTGTGACAACATACCAATTTACATATTATTGTCTAGTAGCTAATAATTTTAATTAACTCTTTGATTTTCTAAATTCTAAACTGACTTTCTGTGTGTATGTGTGTATGATCATTCTTCCTAGAAATAAAGTGTTTTTGTAATTTTTACAATTATTTTCACCTTTTTTTCATGTCACACCTTACTGGCCTGTATTTGGAATACAAAATTGAATTCATAAAGATCATTGATTTTTATTCCTATTTCCCCAATATTTTACCACCCTTTACTGAGCACCTACAGTATGCCAGGCAACTGTACTAGTGGCACAAAGATAAGTAAGCAGGAGTCCTGACCTCTAGGAACTTAGAGTCTAATGGGAAAAGCACAGATAAATAACAGCTAAGTAAAATTCAACACTTTTGGTGCATAGTCCAAGTACAATGCAAAACAGATCATTTCCAGGCCTCAGGGGATACCTCTGGTCACCCCCATCTGGAGAGTCCTCCCTCTGAGTCATCATCCTACCACCTACGCCTGATCCTTTCCTACATGATCTCTCTACTGTCGGAGCCCCATAATCCTAATGATAAACATGACTGGAACCCCCAGCATAATTATTCAGTTGCCCCCTACGCTGGCCTCTCGGAGCCAGTCAGTTTGCCAATCTTATTTGCTACGCCTCAACAGTATCTTTTTTAACACTCCTCATTCTCTCTGTCTTAATCCCATCCTTATAACTCTGACCTAAACATCATAATCTCATATCCAGGTTCCACTGCTTGTCACTCCCATTTCATACTACACTGGAAGATCACTCTGCAGGAAGCAAGATCTTTCTAAGGAGTAGCATTTGAAGTCCTCTACAATCTATTCCCAACCTTTCCAACTTGATCTCCAACTGCCACCTCTTAGGCACATCTGTGATCTAGATAAACTATATTTACATAACAGTTACCACAAATAGCCCCAACTCCATGTCTTTCTCAAGAAGTTCCTGATAAAAAAAATACAGTTTCCTACCTCCCCCAAGTACCAATCCCAGCCATATTTTAAAATCCAAATTAAATGATAGCTTCCCTGGAAAGTTTTATGCTTCTCCCATCTGGAAAATAATGTATTCTTTTTTTTAATTCCCTTAGCAATTTATCTGTGCCTCTATTCTTTTTACTAATGTGAATACATTTTTACTAACAGAATGGATTTTTGAAGAGCAGGAATATCTTCATCTCCCAAAGCTCAACATTTATATGTAGCAAGTAATCAACAAATCCTCTTTGAATGTATTAGTGCCTATTAGTTTTACTCTGCAGTCAAACATAGATTCCAGCAGCATATCTCCATGGGCTGAATTCCTCACCTAATTTCCATGGGGAATTGTGCATTTGTGACCAGGAAACTGGAGATTTTACAATGGTGGAGTAGCTTCAAAAACCTGTTGATCTCTGGGTACATTATTGGTTCTCCCACAAGGGACAATGCACAATGCTTTACCGTCATTCCTTCTTCGAAGCGCTCTGCTTGGACACCTGGTACTCCTGAAATACAGTGAAAAGGAACAAGCTAAATAAGACACAGATGGAGGATGCCACATTTTTCTTAGTGATTCTTTGATTTTAGAGGGCAAATTCATTCAGTCAAAAAATACAAAACAAGAGCCAGAGGGGAGAAAAAAACTAGAATTATTAAATCAGAAGTCAGCAATCTCATCCTTAGCTTTGGTGCTGTTTAAACAACATCAATACAAGCAGGCAAAACTAACTGTGTTAGCTATAAACAATTATTTGGAATGCAGAATACATCACTTCCATAATTTGCTTAGCCCTGCAAAAGCAAGGCTTTCTTTCATGTTGGTCTAAGAAAATGAACTCAATACATGTACATAAGGAAAAGACTGTTCTAGACCAATCATTTCCCTATGCATTCCTCCAGTACCCTGAATTCAGAAACCAAATGTAGTTGGTCCGGAGGCATAGAGGAGAGAAAAAGAAGAGATCTATAGTTCTCACGTTTGGTTTCACATTGGAATCACTGGGAGATTCAAAAACTACTGTCACCTACGTCTACCTCCAAAGAGTCTGTTCATTAGAACATGTGCAAACCAGAACAAGAGTTCTTTCTAAACGTTCCCCAAATGATTCTTATGTACAGCCAAGGTTGAAAATCACCACATGAAAGTAGAGGATCCCAAACCTTGTCTATACATTAGAATCGGCTGTGTATCTAAAACTTCAAAAATCCAGGCTGAAGCTCAGATCAAATAAATCACATTCTCTGGGGAATGGCACAGGCATGAGTAGTTTTTGAGGCTCCCCAATGAGTCTAATATGCAGACAAGTTTGGTAACCACTGGCACACACCACTCATTCTCAGCCCGAGCTAGACATTGGCATTACCCAAAGAACTTTCAAAATCCCAATGTCCAGGCGGTATTCCAAACCAATTAAATCACAGTCTCTGGGGACAGGACTCAGGCATCAGGATTTTTAAGTGCTCCTCGTGTGATTAGAGTATAAAGCTCATTTTGACAAGTACTGCTCTTGACTCAAATGTAGAAGGCATTCAGAGACAGCTGTCTTAAAAGTCCCACAATCTAAGAATGTGAAAGACTTGGAAAGAATGTGCATAGGCAAATAAAAATATATCTCCTTTACTGTAGATATTTCTAAATCAATTATCTCTAGGTTCTTTTTGAAGAATATATTCTCTCTGAAGGATACAGATTCTTCTTGGAGATTGGGGGTGGGGAGAAGCATGTCCATATGCTCTTCCAGTCACTTATTAGCCATCTTTTAAACTTAATTTTCTTAGATATGAACTGTACGTATTTCAAAAAATTTTTGTTAGGATTAAATGAGATGATGCATATAAAGGTCTTAGCAGAGCACCTGACACACAAGACACATTCATTAAGAATGTACTGTTATCACTTTTATCCTGGTTTATTAAACTGATAAAATCCCAGTAACTGTCACCTTAACACAATAACAACAAAACTTTATTTTGTGGAAAATAAAGTTAACTTGCACTGCTCAATTGTACCTTAATTTTGAAGAACTAATTTTATCTTACACACAAATAGAATCTACTTGGAAATAAGCAAGTGCAAGTACATAACCAAGAGGTCAAACCAACAGAATAGAGACTAAAATGAGAATACTCTAAAAGTGACAGGTGATAGCTTCTTTTATGACTAACTGCAATCCTAAGAATGTATTTCATGTCAGTATTTTGGGATGGATGAATAATTTTTTAGGTTATTGAAATCTAAGATCTTAACTCAAGTGAATCAAGGTTTTAAATAAAACTTGATCCTTAAACTCATTCTGTGTTGCCAAGACAACTCAGCATCAAGTATAACATTTCCTTTTTGAAAAAAAAGGATCATTAACTTTAATCCCTGCATGAGCAGCTGAGTAGAAGACAGATTTAACCTCAACTCCAGAATTAACCTAAAACTCAAAAAGTACAAGTCTTGGCCACTGGGAATCAGATGTACTGGGTTCAAATCCTGACTCTACCACTAAGCTAGTTTTGTGTCCTTGGTCAGACCTCTCACTCTGTCCAAGTCCATTCCCTTATAATGGGAATTTTACTTACACACACACACACACACACACACACACACACACACACACACACACATTATTAAATGAAATGAGCTACATGAAATACTTAGTGGGGTGCCAGGCCCAGCACCTAAGTGTTCAAAACATGTAAGCTGCAAATATTTTTATTTTGTGTACTGAAACAGAAATCCAATTATTTTAATTACTTAAAATGGTAATTCCTTCCAATTAAATGTGTGTACTGATCACCTACTATGTGCCAGGCACTGTTTTTGAAGATTTTTCTATCAGTAAATAAAACAGAGAAAGGTCTGTGCCTTTGTGGAGTGTACATTCTAGCAAATGAGATAGAGACATAAAACATAATGAATCAGTAAATTCTATAGCAGAACAGAGGGAACTTTCTGTGATGACGGAAATATTCTCTTTTTTGTACTATCTAAACAGTAGACACTAATCACACATGACTATTGAGAACTTGAAATGTGGCTAGTGTGAATAAGGAAGTGAATTTTAAATTTTATTTAATTTTTACTAATTTAAAAGGGCCTTGCGTGTCTAACAGTTATCATATTGGATGTACACTTCTATAATATATTAGAGGGTGATTAGCATAGGGGGAAAAGAGGTAGAGCAGGGTAAAGAAGGTGTGGCGTGCCAAGAGGAAACAAAGGCAGGCCGCCCTGCTATACAGGGTAGGCAGGATGAACCTCATTGAAAAGGCGAGGTCTGACATGGAAATGAGGGAGTGGGCCAACAGAGCAAAGAGGGGAAGACACAGGTGGGAGCTCATCTAATGTGTTCAAGAAATCTGAGGAACATGGGTATTCACTGCAGGGTTTTGAGAAGAAGGATGGCATGAACTAATTTTTATTTTAAATGGATCACATTGGGTTCTATATTGAGAACACAGGGGCAAGGAGAGAAGCTAATCTGTCAAGCGCTAAGCAAGAGCTTGGACCAGGGTGGCACAAAGGGATTATCAGCTGGATTTGTGTTGACAGTTTAGTTGAGAGGATTTTGGAATAGATTGGATGTAAGGTATGAGAAAATGAGAGGTGTCGATGACTTCCAACAAGTGTTTGGCCTGAGCAACTAGTTGCCATCAACTCAGACAAAGAAAACCTTAGAGGTTAATAGGACAGAGAAGAGGACCAGGACTGAGTGCTAGGTCACTCACAGTTCTGGGGAGAGGAGGAGGGATCAACAAATGACACTACCAAGGAGCAGCCAAGGAGGAAGGGGGAAAACCTAAAAGCAGAGAGATCAACTGCCATCTTTTCTGTAGAGCTGTAACTCAAAATTTCATAAACGAACTTGCCCATTTAGACAATCTAAAACACAAACAAATAAAGAACAAGACCAAAAACATACCCCAAGTCCCTATGGGTAAACTTTTTAAAATAATGGATTCTGAGATTTAAAAATCATCCTGATTCTTTCAAAAGTAAGGTACTGAGAAAGATATGCAAAACCTTGGTTCTCTCCTTCATAAAAGCACATTTCTATTGCATGCTCGCTACCAGAGGCTATTATGATGGTACTTCCAAAAACAAGGCCTCAAGGAATCAACTTCATGTCTTCTTTCACTGTCCTCAAAGAAAATAAAAACAGAAAAAACAGCCTCCAAATTTCTAATGCAAAGAACTCCTGGAGAAGAAAGAAACAGTCAGGCAACAGGAAACACTATATTTCAGTAGCAATCTATAGCATTATTCCCCATTGTGTGATATGAACACACACACACACACACACACACACACACACACTCTGTTCTACTCATGGTTCCCAAACTTTAACCCTTTCACAACTAAACTCTGATGCTTTGTTATTCTATCTTTATGGGTTTTTTGTTGTTATTGATAAGCAAGTTTTCTGATATTTCTCTTATCCTGAACAGCTTCCAAATCTTGGATAATCACAAATACAGTCAGCAGATTAAATAAGAAGCATACTTTATCTCACTGAAAGACGTCAAAGCAAGAATTTAAGATTCCAGAATTTTTATCCTAATGTCATGATGATAAGCCAAATAACACAACACGAAACAGTGATACGTTGCTCAGCGTACAGTATTTTTATGTCTAAGGTTTGGGCCGATCATAAATAAAACACTCTCTTCTTTCTTCCCATAGGAATGCAGTTCCTAGCCAAAGATCTTCCCAACAACCTTTCCTGGCTTAAAGTCAAAAATGATAACTGTTTGATACAGCCATTTCACTGTGAGGTTTTTCATAAATAAGTTTTCAGAAAACAATTAGCAGGTGGTGTTCTCTTCCCCACCTCCACATTTCTTTATGATGTATACTTTAGCATACCTAGTTTGTGAAAACCATCTGCTAGGGAGCTTTTATTTTTTGCACTACTTCATTTCTAGTTTAAAGTATAGATAAAAAAAATACCTAGCAACAAATGATGTCTTTTTCATCTTTGCATCTTTAGCACTGAAGACATTTCTGGCAAAGAATGTTCAATCCCTTGATGTTTGCTAAACTGATGAAAAACTGAGCTAATGAAACCTTAACCCCATTTTCTAGGATCTGTTTCTCCCTGCCATGGTGGTAAGGGGGCAGGCAGCATTTTGAAAAGATGCTGAGTCGCACTGAAATTCTGACCCACTTTTAATCAATATAAAGTTAATTTTGCAAGTACATAAAGAGAAAGCTAATAAAGGTCACAAAAACAAAGATATTTTAATGACTCAGTGAAATAAGTGAAAAGACAATGATTGCCCTCACAATTGAGAGCAGCAGCAAAAAAGAGAAGTACTTAAAAAATCAGAGAATTATCTTCAAAATCTGCTCAGGCTGGCCACTTAGCTAAAGTTGGAAACTCAGAGACAATACGCAACAATAGCCACAACCAGTTCCCATCCTACACAGAAATAAAATCACAGATTGGACCAGACCCAATGGGAGAGAACAGGTGTTCATCACATCATGGGGTGGGAAAGCACACCAGAAAACAAA